TGGCAGGCGGCGAAGAGGAGCTGCGCACGGCAGGGACGTCCCGGGCCGAGTGGGACGCTCTGAGGGTGGGGTGGGAGGACGCGCCGGGGAGAGGAGGGGGGAGGAAATCCGGGGCCCGCTCCAGGCAGAGCCGAGGAGAGACCCAGCTCCACATAGTGGTGGAGCAGGCCCCCAGCTCTTAACTCGCCAGCACTTCCGAGTGCAGGGGCGTGGGGCACGATTCGACCAAATGGGTCGAATTGGCATAAGGGCCGGCAGCCACCAGGCACGCTGAGACCCGGCATTTCTTTTCTACGGCCCGGTACCGGGCCGCGGACCATAGTTTGGGAAATGCTGGGCTACTGGATTTCTGAATAAGATGCTATCAGTGAAACCATGCTATTGCTTTTGTGACACACATGCTCACACCTCCAAAGAGCTTTAGTTTCAAAGTTTCTAAACTTGCAACATTTCTGTTTAAGTGATTTTAGTGCTGCAGGAAAATAAAGGCCTCCATTTATTAAAAGAAAAATGGAATAGAGACACGAGGATGAGTTTCCCAAGTTAGCCTGTCATTGTGCCTGAAGGGATCATCTCTGTGGGGTAGAAGGTGATTCAATCTCTATGTAGACAGTGTCAAAAACCCAGTAAAGAGGACACAGAGGTAGAAGGAGGGAAATAAAAACAGAAATATTTTAATTATATTAAAATATGGATAGAATTTTCTGGAGAAGTGGAAAAATGATACATGTCCTTTTAAACAGTTACAATCTGTCCTTGAAAGCAAGGACAGTTGTCATGGATGGTTGAGACTGTCCAGACAGACAGCTGTGACTGGTTTTTATTACATGCACATCTGTCCAATAGAAACTGGGAACATCAACTCATTTTGCAAATAGGCCAACCAGTTATTAAAAAGTACCAAATTTTATGCACTACTAAACTGGAGTAGATTTAAATAGGAGAAGTAGAAGATAAAAAGCTCTGCATCCCATTACCAATATCGCAAGCAACCCAAGCCCACTTCACATACAATACAGTAAACATTATAAAAATAGCAAGATGATTGAAACTTACCTATGAATGTCTGTTGTGCCTGCGAATTTCCCCCTACCCTTGGGGAACACGAATGAGGGTAGTTAGATGCATTAGCACCCATTTTCTTCAGTCACTCAGGCATGCCACCTGCTGGCTCATCAATGTATAATCCCATAGTCCATTATAAACCTTCAATCCCGGATCCAGCAGACTATGCTCCTCCATTTCTGAACAAAAATAAAAATACCAATAAATGGCTTTGTTTTGTTGTTTGTTTTAGTAGGTATTCTAAAATACATTAAATGTAAAAGCTCATCTTTGTTCCTAATCAGACACAGTCTAGTACAATTTTCAAAACAAAAATAATTTTAAGGGATCATCCTATGGATTATGACATTAACTCAATTTTTCTTCCAAATCATTCATTAAATAATGCAGTTTGTGTGTTAAATTGCCAAGTAATTAGAAAGCTGTATCAATCATGAACTTTTACCTAACAAATTTACAATTATGGGCTTACCGATACTATAAAGCTTTGCTAGTTTAATTATCTGTAAAGTTAAATTAAGATACAGTTAAGATACTTTAATGTAGATACAGTTAGAGTAGTATAAAAACTGCTTCTACCAAGTTCATCTAATTCTGGTTGGGAAAGCAGAATAAACATTCATGGCAGAATGCACCTTTATAACATTACTGGTTTTAAGTTTTGGTATGGATGGAGTTTAATTTAAACTCTTAATTTATAATTATACTTTACTAGCTTGGACCAGATGCAAGACTAAGGTAAATCCAATCTTCACAAAAGGTCCTTACAGAAAATATAAGGTGTACTTTAATGTAAAAAAAAAGGGTTAATCATGTACAAGTAAATACTGCCAGGTGCTTGATAAGCCAGGGAACTCCGCACCAAAGACAATCAGCACAAGGATTCATGTATGTACAGAGACAAGCTTATTTAAATTCTCCCCTTCTCAAGACCTGTTTAGATTTGCTTCCAATTTGCAGTGTTAACATTGTATCACCAAAGGGAACAGCCTACTTGTTAAGTATCAACAGCCTACATCTTCCACCCACAAGGGAAAAAACAGATGGTTACGAGCCCTCATGAAAGCTTCACTTGGGTTTTAGCTTATAGCCCTAAGTGAGCCAGGTAGCTTGGGTTTAAGCACCCCCAAACTTAGAGATGAGAGCTCTGCATGTGGATGGGGAGGAGCGTTAGAAGTAACTTGCAGGTCAGAGCCCTGGTTAATGCTACAGTTGTCCACCAAGTTAGCCTCATTGGTGGACAAGCGGTTAGATCTAAAAGGGTATTGCGAGGATGGGGAAGAAAAATTGTTCTCCTGGGCCTCAGATAATTGGACAAGAAGCAATGGGCTTCAACTGCAGCAAGGGAAGTTTACATTAGACTTTAGGAAAAACTTCTTGCCTGTCAGGGTGGTTAAACACTGGAATAAATTCCCTAGGGAGGTAGTGGAATCTCCATCACTGGAGATATTTAAGAGCAGGTTGGATAAACATATATCAGGGATGGTCTAGACATTGGTTAGTCCTACCATAAGGGCAGGAGACTGAACTCGATCTCTCAAGGTCCCCTTCTAGGGATGTTAAATATTATGAGGTTACTCAACTATTCAATTACAGGCAGTCCCCGGGTTACGTACAAGATAGGGACTGTAGGTTTGTTCTTAAATTGAATCTGTATGCAAGTCGGAACTGTCGTCCAGATTCAGCCGCTGCTGAAACTGACCAGCGGCTGACTACAGGAAGCCCGAGGCAGAGTTGCTATGCCCCGGGCTTCCTGGAATCAGCCTCTGATCAGTTTCAACAGGCTGAATCGGGACACCAGTTCC